CTACAGTTGCTCAGCTGATAAATGCTTTCAGAGTAAACCACTGGAATTTGATCATGTTTCCAACCTAAATATATCAGTCACTTTTTATGATACATAAAACAGGAAAGAGAAATGATCTGATATGCTGCAAAACACTGCAATGGTGTAAACAGCTGATGTGCTCACACATGCACCAGACGACTTGGTAATTCTCTCCAGAATCTTACACCTCTAGAAAGAAACAAATTGTCATGGGATACTGTTAATTTTCTTAACAGACACCTGTCTGATGCCACATTTTGGATTTTGGATGATAACAGTTTTGATATGTCTTAGTTGATGGATGGCAGTACTCACACAGAGCCAAGAACTCTTTTACTTCTTGCACTGCCCTGCCAGTGAGGAGCTAGGGGTACACAAGGAACAGGGAAGGGACACAGCCAGGACAACCGACTCCAGATGGCCAAGGAGATGTCCCATAACATATGGTCTTCCAGGCTCCAACCATACACTGCTGGCTCATGTGGCTTTTTGTCCACCAGTTCCTCTGCAATCCTCCTCCAGAGAGCTGAACAATAAGAGAGTATATTTCACACACTTTTGTGCTCGAGTTAGACATTCTTCCTTAAATAACTAATGAAAATGGCTTTACGTATCTGGCTGATTTCCCATAGAAGCTTATTCAATAATGCTCACATTTTCTACTCTGCTGACTGAGCTGAGGGGCAACAAACCCCCTGGTGACTGGTGGTCATAAGCAGCCAGAGTACATCGCATTTTCAACTGCTCCACATAGAGCCATTAAAGAACATATGCCTACGTTGCTTCTTGGAGAAAAGGAATACACTCTCCCACTTGGCATTTCTTTCCCCTGCAGGTGAAAAAAAAAAGTTCTTATTGTAAATTACCAGCAATTAACTTTTCCCTGCATTGGCACTCTGTTCCTCCATTTAATCCCACAGCATTCAGCACGCACAGAATTCTTGCCAGACCACTTGACTGGTTTTAAATAAAAATCTGCTTAACCAGAAGTACTGAAATTTAAAATATATTTCTTGCATCAAGGCTCCCAACTTCCCAATACAGTCACATGAACCCCCTAGGGAAAGTGAGTAACTATCTATTTTCATTAAAAATACTCCACCATTGGTGTCCAGGAAATTGTTTCTTAAGAGGAAAATGACACGAGTAGCTCTGCTAACCAGGTAAGATCACCATCCTACTTCTTTATGCTAGGCTTAGTGCCAGAAGTACAGTTCAGAACATTAGGTTTATTTGAGCTCTTCTGGCAGAGGTTTAAAAAGAAGCCTGAATAACATGGATATCTGTTATCTGCTCATTATTCAGTTCTTGTGGCCCTGCCCAAACTGCCTTTTCAGTGAAAGCTGATCTCTCCTCAGCACTCTTCTCCATGAGTTCATTTGCATTTCTCATCTCATTTCAAGCAACTGGGACTGTCCTGAGAATCCGTAAGCACATGAAAGTCCTGGAACAGCCAGTGGCTGTTAGAAGAACTAAGCTTGAGACAGCCAGGAACCCATTGCTTGCTTATAAAGTCACCACACATTTTAAACGCTATTATTGCTAAACACACCAGAAATACAAAAAATTGGCATGCACAGAAGAGCATACCAGGGGTGCAGTGTCTGATGGAGAAGACTAAACTTAATCACTGGTATAAAGTTGTGCCTTCTGCTACCACTGCGAAAATGTACCACCTTCATGTCATTCAAATGCACAAGTGTTGCAGAAAGTATCCACCAAATAAGTGTGTGATCTGTATATAAGAATGACAACTACAGATGTGCATTCCCATCTGGAAGCAAAACTTTCTTTGTCTCTTTTGAACTCTTTTGCTTCTTAAATCTCATGAGCTTTCTTCTTGAAACTCAAAGCATAGCTCACTGGGACATAGCTGCAATGCAACCTGTTTTAATGCCAAAATCTAGAAGACTTGTCATTCAAATTCACTAATATTACCAGGACTTTTAAATTTTTTACTTGCATCCATGAGAATAAAAAAAAAAATATCAGGTTTTATTTCTTAATTTCTTCTTTAATATATATATATATATAGTTTTTTTGGTCTTACTCCTTTAGCATTGTGAGCTGATGCTTTAAAAGAAGAAACTCAACTGTACAATGAACTATAAAATGCTGGCATGTACTCATTGCTACAACTACTCTATCACCATCTGAGACCTGCACACTTCATTTCAGACTCCCAAGCCCTAAGTTCCTGCACCAGGAGAGCCCTGTGCTGGCTTGGCAGAACTGAGTAGATGCAATGCAGTCTATGTTGGACATGCAACAGAATAAATGTGCTAAGTGAAATGTCAGCAGTGGAAAAAGTCAAGCATCTAAAAACACTGCTAAATGGCCCCTATATGGGCTACAAAAGCAGTGGTTTGCTGTCTGAAGAAAAATTTGTTTTTGTATTTTTTCTGCAGAACAGAAAAAACAGATCATGATAGGAAGTATAAAAATTATACTTTTTAAAAGTATAAAAACTTCCTGTCCTTGACCTCTCCAAAAGCAGAAATAGCCGGGCAGTACAATGAGAGCTGCTTTCAAGATCTGTGTTTGGATTACTTACAGACGGTCCCAGCACCAACACAGGTCTTAAAACATGATCAGCACCTCATGCAGGGATAGAAACTATCACCTCAACCAGTACAGTTCTGCTACTGATGACTGCACACTACTCCTCTGCTTCTGATCAGGAGGCAGTAACTGCTGATCGGACAACACAGAAATGGAACACAAGGCTGCCTCTGTATCATACACCTGATTAAAACATTCTGTATTTATTTATCCTCTTGGCACAATGCACAGTGGATGAGTAATCAGATTTTATTTCCCCATCAATGAAATCCTGTCATAAGTGGGACAGAAAGTTATAGCTGTGTATCAAAAGACAGCAGTATTTCATGCTACGTTAGAAACAGGAGAGTACTACAAACAAATCAAAGTCAAATGGGAATTTATGATGATGATACATCCTGACTGTAATATCAACAATAAATGAGAGTAATTCAAAAGGGAGCTCTAAAAGTTCCTTGGCCAAAAATGAACATACCAAATGTGCCATAAAGCAATTCTTCAGCTAATGCAGTCTCAGATCTTTCTTCTTAGACTATTACTATATGAACAGTAAACATCTAACTCAGAATATAGAAAAAAAAGCCAATTATTAGAATTCCAGCTGTGTCCTAAGTTCTCTGTAAGAGTGGCACTGGAGCAGAGAAAATTGGTACTTAAAAGGTATACTCTAAAACAGAATAGTTTGCTTTTCAGAAGAACTTCTTGAGCTTCGAGTATAAGGCATCTTTATTTCAAATGACTTAGTAGTACTCAGATGGGGAATTCAATTAAAAGAATAAATTGCCTCATTCACTTTTTAACAGTAAAAATTCAGCAGGAACATAGAATTTGATGAAAGCTTTCCTAATGTTATGCCAGGATGCCGTGCACTGAGGTGAATTTTTTGTCTTTTTGCTGCTAAAATAGCTTTCTAGGTATTTTTCCCCCAAGCCAAAGACTATAAAGTAATATAACAAGTTTTAGAAAGGAATAACGTATTTTTTTCCCCTCGAAAATACAGTTGAAATTGCAGAAACTTCAAAAAGAATTGTGTTATATAAAAAGGAAAGCACAGAACTCTGTATGGAAAATGAGTGCAGCTTTGGAAACTTGAACAAGGGTTTCATTGCTCAGATCTCATTGTTATGCCCTCGATCTGCTGCTGAGAAATGCAACACTCAGAAAGAGGAAGCTGGTGACTGGTCAACTCTTCTACTGTGAAGTACAATCACAGAATCACCAAGGTTGGAAAAGACCTATGAGATCATCCAGTCCAACCATCCACCCATCACCAGTAGTTGTCACTAAACCACGTCCCTCAACACAATGTCTAAATGTTCCCTGAACATCTCCAGGGTCAGTGACTCCACCACCTCTCTGAGCAGCCCACCATCAGTTACCATTTAATTGAAACACAGGTGTTGCTTATCTGTTGAAAAAAGGGATAATGTGATTTTTAATTCTTTTGGAGTGATAGTTACAGACAAATTTTACTTAATGTGCAACTGAGTTCTAGACTGAAAACAAGGAAACTAAGGAAAATTTAATCCAATTTACAGTCACATTTCACACACACTTGACTGTAGTTGAAGACACTGTAGTAACAGTGTTAATAAACAGAAAGTGCTCCTCTCTGAGAATAATGAAGGAATGCTCACCTATTTGGAAAGACAGCTTATCATCACTGCAGTATCAAAGTGTACTTTAAAGTGAAATGCACATTCATGGGCAAAAAGTAGGGATAAAATTAAAACATACAATCAAAGCACCAGTAAGTAAACATTTGGCATATTGCAGTAGACTAAAAATAATATAACTAAGCATACATGTAAGTACAAATAGCTCTTGTGTATGCATTCATACACAATGTACATTATCACATATGGTCATTGTTGGGAGAGAACAACAACATTGTAACTAGCTAGCATTTCTAACTCCAGCAATTCAATGACTTCCTATCGTTTGATCTGCATTTGCAGTCAGTGTTCTTTCATGCAAAAACGTCTTAATCAATTGCAGTGAGGTTACAGAACATGTAAAGCTGGGTTAACCAACCTTGCGAGGAAATGGCTTTTTCTGACCGACAACGGTGTAACACAAAAATAGCTTAAAAGGTTAACAGCCACTTGCTACAGATTTCCTCTTGTTTCTTAACGTAGGGTAGGAAGCATCCAAAATGCTTCGTATCGCAGCCTGGTATTAACTAGAAGTGGCAGTCCCGCACGGTACGGCAGTTAGACAGCGAGTTCTCCTCCCTCCCGTCCCAAGCTCATCAAAGCAGCCAGGTGTGAGCCGCGCACCGCCGGCCGCACAGCAGCACCGGCCGGGGCGAACCGCTCGAACGAAGTCAGAGCGCAGCGGCACCGCGGGGCGGCGGCTCCCGGCCCTCCCGTAGCCCCGAGCGCGGGGCAGCCTCACCTCCCCGGGAAGCGACTTACCTTGGTGAGCTGGGCGATCTTCTTGCACATCTGCATGTGAATTTCCTTACTGTATCCTTCTGCCGAACTGCTGCGAGAGGCTTTAGATCCATCGCAAGTCCCGGGTTGCCGGCTCTTGTTTATGCCGGAGGCCATTAGGCTTGAAATATTCTAACCGAGTCCGTCCGTGTACGCTCCGGGCTGCGCGTTCCCGTCCTGCTGCTCGCCTCCCTCAGCTCACTCCAGCCAAGCCCCAAGCGCTGCAAGAAGTTCAGCCCCAGCCCCGGGCTGGAGCAGCTGCTTCTCCCCTCCGCGCAGATGTCCCGCTCCTTCAGCACCGCACCCGGCCGAGGCAGCGAGCAGCGCGTGCCAGCCTCACGAGCGGGAGTTCTTTCTCCTCTCCTCTTCCCATGGTGCTTCCGCAACGAGGAGATGCCAGCGGCTGGATGCTACGCTTTCCCCACGGGACACGCCAATACAGAGACCGCCTACAGATTAAATCGCGTTGTCTTTTTGGGCTGCTGCAGGGATCATCTGAGAGGATGATTCGGGCACCTTTCATCAGCTCTGTTAGTTTGGCAATCCTTTGCAAGTCCAGATGGACCAATAAAGTGGCGAAGAAAATCTTGTTCGATTTTTGCTGTTCTGCTGAAAGCAAAACGAAGCGGTGCTTCCACCTCCACCCTGCAGCTGAGCCCTGGTGGGCCTGCCTCAGCCACAGGGGCTGCCAGCTCCCCTCGGCTGCCCTGCGCTCACATGGGAAAGGCAGGTAGAAAGCTGACACTGCTCACTTGTCTTCATCTGCAGCCATTCCCTCTCTTCAAAAGGCCAAGCATTCCACATATAAAAATAAGAAAAACCGCTGAAAAAAAGCAGGCAAAAAGCAGAAATATGCAAGATATTAAAATAACTTTTTTAAAGAAGAAAATGGTTAGTGAACATGTTTAAACAAGTCTAGGAAAGGAAAGGAGAAGAAAGCAAAGTAGGGTGGAAATAAAGAGGTAAAGAAATGATGAAAAAGGAGAAAGAATAGGAAGGGAAGCTGAGTGTTGCTCAGCACCCTGTGATTGTCAGTGCAGCCAGTAGTAGAGAGCCCACAGAGCAGGGCAAGGGGCTTGCAGCCGCTCAAGGGAACAGAGGCTACTCCTGCCCCCAGACTCACCTCCTGGCAGTGCCTTCCTTCCTCCCAGGCTAAAAGCCTGTGCTGGGCTTGAAAAAGAGCTTCAGAGCTTCCTCAGGGTGCTCAGGATTGGAAAAGAGGATTATCCATAGTCAGCTAAGAGCATGGAGAAAGGAATCTGTGAAAAAGAGAAATCCTCAATGAGGGCAAAAAGAGATAAGGCACTGCTAAGCATAAGCACTCAGAGAGAAAGACAGATTGGGCAGAAGAATGCCTGAAGGCAGCAGGGCAGAGAGGGAGGAGTGAGAAGATGTAGGAAGAGAGGACTTGGGACACAGAAACCAAACCCTTTAATTGCTGGGAGAAAAAGAGGGACCTTAAATGAAGGCTGACTGAGAAAGTCATAGGAGATAAGGGCCGAGGAGAATGGAGATCATCAGAGCTATTGGGAGATACTAAACTGGGAGGAGAATTAAGCCCAGACAGAACATTCATAAGAAAGGCAAGAAACATATAATCTTTGCACACAGTAATGACATTCATCGGCAGCAGTGACTAACATGCTGCTGCTTGAGAATAGAACTACTTCTGTGCATATGGCATAAGGACACTCCATTGTCTATTGTCTGCTCTCTCATATGATGTGATAAACCTTCTCCGCAATCCTTCTCAGCAATTTGAAGGAAGAAAAAGGTAGAAACTTAATTATATGCACAAATTTGATAAAATTGACAGGCTTATTAATTAGTTCTCTGGACTTTCCAATAACAGCATCTTCTTCCTCAGGAAAAATACAAACAACAACAATGCACAACACACAAAAGAGTGAAAACAGAACACTATTTAAGAAGAATGCATTGGGTTTTAAAAGTACTTACAATAACTTACCTGTGTTATTGCTCTAACACAGAAATTAGCAACCTTTTTCTTTGTTTGGTTTTTCTTTCTTTCTTTCTTTTTCTGATAAACAGCAGAATTTATGGCTGGACCTGAATGCATGCCTGGATGGAGACCTGAGACAAAGCAAGGATGCCACAATGTGTCATTCAAGTGTGTGCTATACAAAAGTGGACCTTATGTGAACCCTGCAGAACCCATAAGTGAATGTGAAAATTTTTCTTGAACTTAGAGCTGTATATGGCAAAGATACAGTTTAGAATAAAAACAAGAGCAGTTTAAACTGAACTTCTGCTTGAATTATTATTGTAGCACTAGTTTTACATTCATTATGAGAGAGAAGATAGTTATCACACTATCATCTCTAAATCTGTGAGTAACTGTATATATGACTGTTTATGAGGGTGGCTAGTGATAGGACAAGGGAAAATGGTTTTAAACTGAGACAGGGGAGGTTTAGGTTAGATATTAGGAGGAAGTTTTTCACACAGAGGGTGGTGATGCACTGGAACAGGCTTCCTAAGGAGGTTGTGGATGCCCCATCCCTGGAGGCATTCAAGGCCAGGCTGGATGTGGCTCTGGGCAGCCTGGTCTGGTGGTTGGTGACCCTGCACATAGCAGGGGGTTGAAACTCAATGATCGTTGTGGTCCTTTTGAACCCAGACCATTCTATGATTCCTTGATATAGGTTTATAGCTTTACTGCTCAAGTGCATGGACTGATTTACTTTTAGGAGTAAACAACTGTTTGCCTTCCACTTTTGGTACCTGCTGCTTGTTCTATAAGCTGACTATACAGATTTTGAAATCTATATCCTCCTTTGCAGTTGTGTTCACTCAGCCAACTGTGGTTTGCATACTGTACAGACTTTCGTTCCACAAGCTTCAGTCTTCTCGATGTTAGAGTTTAGAAAAATACATTACATAAATTATCATTACATGAGATAATGTTCTTTCTCTTACTTTGATGGAAGACTGGGCTATTTTACATTAAAAAAACAAAAAACATTCTGCTCATTGTACTCTCCCAAAATTTGTTAGGTTTTTGGTTTTTTTGTTTTTTGTTTGTTTTTTTTTTTTTTTTTCCATGATGTAATATGGAGGTAGTATTTACTATCCTCATTCAGTATGGAAGTCAGTAGGACTTCTGATGAGCCCTGACTTAAAATCAAATTCCTCCTTGTTTTAAAAAGCGTGTGTAGGAACACAAACAAATAAACCAAACAAAGGTTCTCCTTCTATTATATTTTTATACCTTTCTTCATCTGTTTGAACAAAACAAAACAAAACAATAAAAAATTTAGAACAAAACCCGAATGCAATGTAAGTAACTTTTGAGTTCTCATTCTTTGACTGTGGTACCAAAGCAATTTGACATTGCTCAGTTAACAGAACAGCACCTTGTCCTGTCATGTATTTAGATTATAACAGTGACTCGGATGTCAGAAACATTCTCTGATAGCTGATCAGTCAATGTCAGTAAATACATCAATAAGGAAAAAGCCCTAAGTTTACATCATTGGGCTCTCATCCTGATTTCAGCCACCCAGATACTGCTGGGAAACAATGTGGTGAGCTGCAAGCGGTCCAGGAGACTCCAGGAACCTATAGACACTAATTTTGTGGTTCAGGTATTGGGCAGATTGATTGGAGGTGAAACGTTGCTGGTGCTCACCAGTGTGAAGGAGGTCATTATAGAATATAGATTAGGCAGCCTGTGTTGCAGCAACCATGTCCTGGTTGAGTTTGTGACCTAGAGGAATGTGGGCCTGGCAAAGAGTGGAGTTAGGACCCTGAACTTCAGGAAAGGCTGTTTAAGGAATTGTTGGACAAGATCTCAGAAGCTGTCCTTAGAGACAAAGGAGTGGAACAAAGCTGGCTACTCTTCAAGGATGCCTTTCTTAGAAAGCAAGAGCTCTCCATCCCTCAGAATAAGAAAGCATGCAGAGGAGACAGGGAATAGGCATGGCTTGGCAAGGATCTGCTGGTCAAACTGAGGGAAAAGGGCATGCACAGGCAGTGGAAACAAGGACATGTCACCTGGGAAAAATACAGGGATTCTGTCCAGACATGCAGAGATGGGATTAGGAAATCCAAGGCACAGATGGAACTGAACTTGGCAAGGGATGTTAAAAACCACAAGTGGTTCTATAGGTATACTAGTAAGAAGAGATAGGGCAAAGAGAGCATACCTCCTTTGAAAAATGAGAAAGGAGAACTGTCTACAACAGATATGGAGAATGGAGAGATACTCAGTGAATCCTTTGCCCCCGTCTTCACTGGCAGCCAGGATTCTCCTATTTCTCACATCCCTGAACTCTTGGTGGGAAAGGAGGGAGCAAACCTGCCCCCACTGTAAGGGCAGAGCAAGTCTGAGATCACCTCATGAGACTGAATGTCTATGGTGCACCCCAGGGTCCTGAGAGACCTGGCTGATGTGGCTGCCAAGCCACTCTATCATATCTGAGACGTGGCTGTCAGGCAAAGACCCCAGTGATTGGAAAAAAAGGAATCGACACTCGCATTTATAAGAAAGGGATAAAGGAGGACCTGGGGAACTACAGGCCAGCGAGATTCCCCTCTATGCCTGGGATGACTATGGTACAGATCCACCTGGAAGACATGTTAAGACACATGAGGGTCAAGCATATGGTCTGAAACAGCCAGCACAGCTTCACCAGGGGAAGGTTGTGTCTGATCAATCTAGTGGCCTTCTATGATGGAGTAATAGCACCGGTGGACAAAGAGAAGGAAACTGATTTTATCTACCTGGACTTCTGCGAGGCCTTTGACATGGTCCCCCACCACATCCTGATGTCTAAGTTGGAAAGATGTGGATTTGAAAGGTGGACCATTTGCTGGATAAAAAATTGGTTGGAAACTTGCAGCCAGAGGGTTATGGCTCCATGTCCAAGTGGAGGCTGGTGACAAGCAGCGTCCCCCAAGGGTCTGTCTTGGGACAGATACTCTTTAACAACTTCATCAATGACTTAGATGATGGGACCAAGTGCACCCCACTGAGACTGCTATGACACCAAGCTGAGCAGTTAATATAGCAGAAAGAAGGAATGCCACCTGGAGGGGCTTCGACAAACTTGAAAGATAGGCCCATGTGAACCTAATTAAGCTCAACAAAGCAAACTGCAAGGTTTTACATTTGGGTCAGGACAATCCCAGATATGTATGGGAGAACTCCTTGAGAACAGCCCTGCTGAGAAGGACTTAGGGATCCTGATAGATGAAAAACTTAACTTGAGCCAGCAGTGTATGCTTGCAGCCACTGCAAGCTGGAGGCCAACGCTATCCTGGGCTGCATAAGAAGATGGGATGTCAGCAGGACAAGGGAGGTGACTGTTCCTCTCTACTCTGCCCTTGTGAGGCCCCATCTGGAGTACTGTGTCTAGATCTGGGAAGAACAACACAGGAAGGAGCTTTTGGAGGGGGTCCAGAGAAGGGCCATGAAGGAGATCAGAGGGCTGGAGCACCTCTATGAAGACAGGTTGAAAGAACAGGGCTCGTTCAGTCTGGAGAAGAGAGGCTGTGGGAAGGCATCATTACAGCCTTCCAATATTTAAAGGGAGATTATAAACATGAAGTCAACTTTTTACACAGGCAGATAGTGATAGGACAAGGGGGAATGGTTTTAAACTAAAGGAGGGAAGAGTTATATTAGATGTTGAGGAAAGTTTTTGACCAAGAGTGTGGTGAAGTGCTGGAACAGGCTGTCCAGAAAGGTTGTGGATGCCTCATACCTGGAGGTGTTCAAGGCCAGGTTGGATGGGGCCCTGGGCAACGTGATCTACAGGCTGACCATCCTTCCTATGGCAGGGGGATCAGAACTTGATCCTCAAGGTCCCTTCCAACACAAGCCATTCTCTGATTCTCTGATCAGAATTAGCAAATGGGAGAAGGTGCAATTATACATATTTTTATAAAATCCTTCCCACCAAGCGTATTAGCTTTTTGCTCACATAGCTATATCAAATGTCAGGAAGGCTTTTGTAATACATCTTTCTAATTCTTAACACCTTGTGTGATTTAAACATCAGTATAATTAAAATTAGGTCATCAAACTCATCCATTTTATCTCACTATCTCAATTGAAACCAAAGTCCATCAACTCATCATTATTTACTGCCTACACATAAAAATCTGTGTGTCATATGCAAGGTAAGATCCACAAATTCAAAATTCTAAGACATGAAGAAGATAGCTCTGCTGCAGATGTTTAATGCATAAGCTTGGTCCTTTGTTTAGTGCATTACAAGTAGCTTTCACAAACCACCATTAATACAGAGCCCTACTCTGCCACTATACAAGTTTCACTGAAGTCAGCAGGATTTTTTATGTGATGGCAAAATTAAACTGATACCTCAGGTTAGACTGTACTGCTGTTTTCCAGCTCAATAAAATTTTCATTTGAAAATGGTACAACAATACAAGTAGTCATTAACTGTCATGATACATTTCAAATGACAGTATCAGTAAAAAAACAGATTTACAACTTCTCAAGTCAGTGTCTCAGCAGAGGAAGATGCTAAGTCAGATTCCAATTTAATGCATAACTCACTATCTTCATTATTAGTCTCTATTTAAATTCATCTTGATCTTAATAAAAAATTCAGGAATGTTTTTTCCTTTTATCAAGGAAAAACAAAACAAACAAAACACTGTAAAGAGAGGTAAAAGTGTCCAGAAGACCCATAATAACAGCTATCCTTCCCCATTTAGTTCACTATGCTATTTCCTATAAAGCTTGTTTAGAGGTTGAATGACAGAAAAAGGACAAGTAGTTCAGCCACCGGTAATTTCAATGATGGGATTATATAACTATTTTACAATTTTTCTTTCCTCTCCCCTCATAAAGCAAACAAGCATTTGAGAGCCTAATTCAAAACACACCAGAAGTGGTGCTGATTTCCTCACTGACTAAAAATAGTAACTATTTGGAAATGTGTGTACAGTTTTATAGCTGACAAACACAAGTTATGGAGGAACAGAATCTCTAATTACTCCTTCATAATGATGGTCCTATTATGATGAAATATTACTGTGTGTATTTTTTAATATGGAAATTGAAACAGGAATCAACCAGATGCATGTTATAAAAACCCTGGCACACAGAGGAAATAGGATAGCATCAACTTTCCTTTTTTATGCTGTTCTTTACCCAGTGACCTACAAGTGAAATTACTACAGAGTGAATGGCATGCAGCACGTCTGGCTTACCCTGTGTCATTCTGTATCTGTTCACACACGACTGACAAAGGAAGAGAAAGGATCTGAAACAGTGACATCAAATGAGGTAGAGACAACCAGAAAGAGACAGCATAACAGATAAGATGACTACATAGAGGGACAAGGAGAAAGTCTTCATCACTCTTCCCTCCAAAGCCTGGTGCAGCACACAAGTTTCTGATTTTCATCTTTCCTCTTCACG